AGCAAGAAGAAGAATCTTTTTACCAGCAAATTGGACTTAAATTTGAGGAAGAAACTAGTGAAATGCTACATTTGGAGCATTGCTTTGTATGGGGCTGAAACTTGGACACTTAGGGCAGTAGATCAGAAACACCTGGAAAGCTTCGCAATGTGACGTTGGAGAAGGATGGAGAAGATCAGTTGGACCGATTATGTGAGAAATGAAGAAGTGTTATTTAGAGTCAGTGAGCAGAGGAATATCCTGCACGAAATAAGAAAACGGAAGGCTAATTGGATTGGTCATATGTCATGCGGTAACTGCCTTCTAAAAGAAGTTATTGAAGGAAAGATAGAGGGGCGGATAGAAGTGACCAGAAGACGAGGAAGAAGACGTATGAAGATGCTGGATGACCTTGGGGACAGAAGAGGATATTTTCATTTGAAGGAGAAAGCGCTAGATCGCATCAAGTGGAGGAACTGTTTTGGAAGAGTCTGTGGACCTGTCATCTTGACAGATTACTGATGAATGAATGATGAATGAAAAGACTACTTGAATTAATCTATACCAGAGCAATAGATGATTGCACAAGTGGCCAGTGCATTTGAATGACATTCAATATGCAACTCTCTTAAGTGTAGATGAGTATGGAAAACAGATTATGAACTGTTCTCAGAAACCTTGAGACAGTCAGATAAATGAAATGCGTGCAAGCTGAATATTTGTATCCGTTACTTTTACAAAGCATCTTAGGTCATTGAAGAATTCTGTCTTCTGGGATATAATTCACTGCTCTGCTTGCTACCTGTTTCATGCTCGTTTCTTGCATGGCTTATTCTTTGACTCTGAAGATAGAGGTGACATTTTCCTCCAACATGTGAGTTGACTTTCAGTGTACTTTATGTCATTATATTCCAGAAACATTTCATAGCCATTACCGTGACAGCCTTAAATCCTACCTTCTGCTATCACGTTTATATACAGCTTTCTACTCTTCAAATACTGGAAGCTATGATGTAGAACCAGAATGTCTCCTCCTCCCCCCTCCTCCCCTCAACTGGAGCATAGGGCATCTGTGAAACGCTTTGTTTCACTTCAGTTTCTTAATGTAAGACAGTCAGTAGGACTCCTTGGAAGGGCGTAAATCCATCACAAGGTCTCTACCCAACAAATCTGACATTCTCCTCCTCCTCCTCCTCCTATTTTGACTCTAAAACTCATGTAGAATTTTGGTCTTCTCAACCACACCTTTCCACTTGGTCCTGTCCTTGACTGTTATCTTCCAGTTTCATACCTATATCTTCTTAATGTCAGCTTTAACATCATCCTCCCATCATATTTTCGGACTGCCCACTGGTCTTATACTTAATGGTTAGAATCCGCATGTTTAAAATACAATTTTGTTAGTTACAAAGATAGACTATTTTTAAAATATCGTTACTTTTAGGTAGATGTTGATAGTGAAAGCTGCTATAGAAATATGTACCCACTAAAACCCTTGTAGAACCACAGAGTCTTATAGAGCAGAGTGTGAAGATGACCAGTGTAAAGTATTCATTAATTCTCTACGTATTTAGAAAGATAAAGATAAGTTAAATTAAATAACAACTATATGAAGTGAAGGAAAGGAAAGTTTTCAGATACATTTAGGCATCTATTATAATGACAGTTCTTAGCAAAATTGTTTAGAAGAAACCTGTTCACTACTGATCACCACAGGACATAGATGGAGGTGAATGCAACTTCCACTGAAAAAATTCAGCCCCCTCACAAAAAAATGTGCCTAATTAATGAAAAATTCTGGAGAAGTTTGTAGTCAATATGAAGAAAATTTTTATTTGTTCTCAGTGTCGTTCCCCATTTTGATGACTATGACTCCATGACTGGACCTTCCAGAAATTTTAGCCCAGTTAACTTACCATATTTTATGTAAACATTTTCAGATTCATCTTAAAAGTCGCCCGAATTCTGGCAGTGGAAAAACAAGTTTTCGTTCTGTGTCAGTGTCTGATATTCATTCAAGACGACCAATGTCTGCTGTGCCTGCATTTAGGCATCAGGTAATGTGCCAAGTAATAACTGTGGTAGTATACCACCACCACCACCACCACCGCCATACCACCGTCACCACCACCACCACCACCAGATATTACAGACAGAAGTCTAGATATGGAACTGAAGCTTAATGAAAGTTTATATTACAGTTTTACAGTTTCCTTCTAGGATGTGAATGGAGCTGGTGAAAGGAAGCGGTCACAATCTGTTGATAACCCATACTTCCCTGTAGGTCATGTGATGTCAAGTTCAGCAACATCTGACTGTGATGAAAGATTGGGAAGAATTCTGCATACAAAATGGGATAGTCCTCATCAGAGGAAGAAGCTTGCTGCGAAACTGCCTGTACTGGGTGAAAATATTCATAACTGTGTAAAACAAGATATACCTTCTGACAAGCATACGAATCATAATAATCTCACAGGTCAGTTTCTGTATCATACATAGACTGTGAAGATGCATTCACTTGATCTGAAGAGAGAGTGTAACCCTAACTGTAACCAGAAACACTGAAACGAAAGCTTATGTGATTATATCAACTGGAAAGCATGTGTGGAGCAATATCATTTTTTCTTTTCTTGAGCTGGGATGAAACTGAGTCTCTTGGTAGTCAGGTTGTAAATGGCCTATTGTACCAGCAAAAGATGATGGATAAGAGAAATTGAGCAATAGGTTTAATGAGAATTAGTAAGGGAGCTGATGTACCCTAAGAAAACTTCCTCCATGTCCACTTTGTCCACTATAAATCCCATATGGACTGATCTGGGGACAAGCTGGTGGTAACAGTATCAGTCAAATGTACTTTTATGTCAGTAATGTAGAAGGTTGTGTGTGCCCGTTGGAAGTGACATTTGCAAAAGGAGCTTTGAATTGAGAATCTGATATATTTTTCCATAAGCTGAAAAGTAACTACAACTATGGCCATAGTGAAAGTATATTTATATAAATGAAGTAAACTATGCAAGTGTAAGGTTGTGAACAAATTACAGCAAAACCTACACTTAAGACTTCTTTGCTGAGAAGTGGATTTGAACATTAATTCGAAGAGAATTGTAAATGGAGGAAATTTAAAGAGATATTTGCTGGGGTCAGTGAAACTGAAAAATGAGGGAAAAGGTTCAATGGAAAACATTAAATAGAGGTCCCATTGTGATTTGTTTCTGAAGTTATGAATTTATATTTTTTCCCAGTTGTGTGAATCAGTCCAGAACCTTTTGTCTTCTCGTCTGCTGTCCAAAAACATAAAAATTAGAATATACAAAACTATAATTTTACCTGTGGTTCTGTGTGGGTGTGGAACTTGGTCTCTGACATTAAGGGAGGAACATAGACTGAGGGTGTTTGAGAACAGGGTGTTGAGAATATTTGGACCGAACAGAGGTGAAGTAACAGGAGGTTGGAGAAAACTGCATAATGAGGAGCTTCATAACTTGTACTCTTCTCCAAGTATAATTAGAATTATCAAGTCAAGGAGGATAAGGTGGGCAGGTCATGTAGCATGAATGGGAGAGACGAATGCATATAGGATATTGGTGGGAAAGCCAGAAGGAAAGAGACCACAGGGAAGACCAAGGCGTAGGTGAGTGGACAATATTAGAATGAATCTTAGATGGTATGGATTGGATAGATCTGGCTCAGGATAGGGGCCAGTGGAGGGCTGTTGTGAACACGGTAATGAACCTTCAGGTTCCATAAAATGCTGGGAAATTCTTAAGTAGCTGCAGAATTGGCGGCTTCTCCAGAAGGGCTCAGCTCCGTGAATAAGTAAGTAAGTGTGAATCCTTCATTAAGGTTTAACATAATCTGAAACAAATTACATAAAATAACTTAGAGATTATTGTATAGAAGCCTGGTAAATTTATAAGTAAAGCACCTATTGAAAATCAAGACAGAATTGAAAAGTCATAAATTCAAGAAATTTTAATCACTGTCTTATAGAAGATGGTTTTAAAGTGAATCTGCTTTAAGTACCCTATGGATAATACAAAGAACAGTGATATTTTATTGTTCTTATAGAAAATGTGGCCAGTGATACATGTTTTAATGTTGTTCCGTTTTGTCCTATGCAAATTCAGTAAAGTAAGTAAGTAAAAGTAAAGTAAAGGTATCCCTGTAACAGGCTGTGGAGGCCCATAGGGTTGTGAGATGTTGAGGTTCCCACATTTTCTAGACAGTCGGCTCATAGACAGTGGCAAAGTTGTCAGTCTTAAGCACCGGCCACCCTTTACCCCCAAGAATATTTCAAGAATATTCTGTTAGAGGCTGAGTGGACCCCAGGGCCATAGTGCGGCTGGAAGGATTAGGTCAATTGAGAAAAAGTCCAGTGACCTCATCAGGACTTGAACTCATGACCTTCTGGCTTGTAGCATAGTGCCTCAACCAACTATGCTACTGTGTGCCCCCTCATGCAAATTCAGTATATAAATTAATTTAAAATGTAATACGTCTGAGTAGCTGTATAAAGCCAGAATATTTTAACCAAATCCTGACCAGTATTTAAAATTACTCTTTCCTCTTTAATTTTCAAATTCAAAAATTATCCAGAGACTTCATTTGTGTTTAAAATATTTCAGAAACTATGTCACTTCCTTTTTCTTTCTGCTTTAAGGACAGGGTTTTGCACTCTTATTGCTCAATTTTTAAGGTAAAGAATGTTTTAGTAGATGATATTACTTGAAAATCACCTCTAACTGTATGAAAATAAAATATTCTTCTTTTACAGCAGTGGATTGTCAATTTGGTACAACACACACACTGCGATCTTCTCAGCTTCTTGACTGTCTTGCATCTAAACCCTTAGGATGTACATGGACAGAATCTGAGTTAAAAGAGTGTTGTGAAGAACTTGGAATTACAAATTATTTTTGTAACAGTTATGATCATGAAAGTTCGAGCAGTGATTGCTCCAATAGTCACTGCCATTCAGGCACAAGTCTTGGAGAGCAAATAATAGCAATGGCTCAAGATCCACAGCCAGCAGAATTGCCTTGTACACTCCCTCTTGAACTAGGACTTGTGAGCGAACCACTTTCATCAGAGAATATTACACATGTAGCTGGGTCCTTAGAGAAGCTAATACATAGTAGAGACAAGTTTCTTGACATTGATGTAAGTGCTGGTGACATTCTGTTTGGAAAGTTAAATCATGTTTGTTGTCTAACTGACAAGCCACAGTATCTGAGTGAATCTACCTATTTTGGGGAAAAATATATATCAGTTTCTGGTGAACCAGATGGTAACAACAGTCATGCATGTAGCATTAAAATGTTGGTGCCTCTGGTTTCTCCACATGAGAATGAGATGTTTCAAGGAGACTCCATTGATGGTGTTCTTGAGGATATGATTATTACACAGAAGTGTTCAATGTTAAAGAATGAAATTCCCATGAACGCACAGTATTCATCTCAGTATAAGGAGGAAAGACAGAATTTGAATGAACAGTGTCAAAATGTTTTAAAACTAAAACATCTTTGTACACAAAATCCAACAGTTTTAAGCAGGACACTTAATGCAATTGATGATGTTTCCAGTCATGTAGGAGACATTAAAGTTCAGCATTTGTTTCCCGACTCAGTATGTGAAGACAGTAGAGTTCCAGATTCTCTTATATGTGAAACTGAAAGGGAAACTGACCTACTTCAAATGAATCTGGCAAGGGAAGAGTGTAATTTTGACTGTTCTGACAGCAGTGAAGATGTTGGTATTGAGCCTACTTATGGAAATGACATCAAAACAGTGTATTCTGGCAGTCTAAAAAGAGAAGAATTGAATTTGGAGTGTTTGGTACTGGGAGACATTGATGAACATGATGGTTCATCAAGCATAAGGAGTAGTGGAAGTGACGCAAAGTGTTCTGTATCTAACAGGCATGTGAATATAGGGAAACAAGGTGAAATTTCTCACTTGGATCTGGAAACAGAAAACAATTCACTGCTTCCTGATCAGAGACCAGAAGATGAAACTGATGGTGAACTGTTAGAAAAACCCTCTGCACAGAGGGGATTTGAAGGTATGGTATCTTGATTTGGGGTGTTTCTTATGTTATAAATTTGGCGTTACAAACTAAATAATATTTTATATGTGTCAAGTCTGACAAGTATTTTTAATGTCCGAGCACAAAATCTTGGATCTGATGTCCAGAATTATAATTGCAATAAATTAAAATTAGTATCTTGTTCTGTTTTAGGAAATAATAATGTTCCACATAACAACATGTGCAATGACAGCAAATCAGAGGAAAGTGACAAATCTGGAGACCTAAATACTAAAGGTTCTTTAGGTTCATCAGCCAAAGGAACAGAGGCATCATGGCTGAATACACAAATGGAAAGCCCAGCACATCAGCAGTTTCTCCATACCCCAGCAGAATCTGCACAGGCACTTAAAACTGATTTAGCTTTACAGTTAAATTTAACACATGAAAATGTGGGACATGATGTACTTGAGAAAAGCAATGTATCTTTTCTGCTGGATCAAAGAAATGTATTGTCTTCACCTCAGACTTTAGATCTGAATTTATCTACTGTTGGAACTTCAGGAAACTCAACTTATGATGACATTGTCACAATACTTAAGGTCTTGGAGGAAGAACAAACATGTTCTTGTGAGTTCTAAACTATGTGTAATCTTTTTAATGAGGAAAATATGAAAACAGACACAACATTACAGGAATATAAAAATATAAATCTTTGTTATATAAGGTGGAAGACATAAGGTGAACATGTTCTAAAGAACTTTTATGGGCCTCAAAAATGTATTTCTTAAAACTTTAAACTTTAATACTATTTTAAAATAAAAAGTGATTAAAATATGTGGTGTGTTCAAAAAGTATCGAACCTTCTTTTTTCCTGTGTAAACCAATGAAGCATGGGAGGCTCCCTTTGGTGGAGATGTGGAGGGGACATTCATGCGCAGTCGTGAATTTTTTCCCCCCCGCAGAAAGCGTCAGTCGCTGGCAGTCGACCTATGAGTGAGGACGTGTAGTGACCGCTCGTCAGATTCCAGTAAGGTCTAAAATGATGGAACAACATGAGCAGTGATATTGCATCAAATTTTGCCAAAAGCTTGGCGATACCCAAGTGGAAACCATTCGCAAGATTCAACAGGCTTTCGGGGATGGTGCCATGAGCAACTCACGGATAAATGAGTGGTACAACCGCTTCAAAGATGGCCGCACATCAGTGGACAGCGAACCGCGTTCAGGCAGACCCTCAACAAGCCTAAATGAGAATGTCATTGAGCAAGTGCGGACTTTGGTCATGGAGGGCCGTCGTATCACAGTCCGAGAACTTGCGAATGAGATAGGGGTAAGCATTGGATCGGTACATTCAATTTTGACCGAGGATTTGGGCATGAGGAGAGTGTCCGCGAAATTCGTACCGAAACTGCTAACAGTGGAGAAGAAGCAATGCCGTGTGGAAATCGCACAGGACATGCTGGACAATGCAAACAGTAACACCAACTTTCTGAACACTGTGATCACAGGCAATGAGTCATGGGTTTATGGGTATGACCCGGAAACCAAGTTGCAGTCATCACAGTGGAAACATCCAACATCCCCGAGGCCAAAAAAAGCATGGCAGGTCCACAGCAATGTCAAGGTCATGTTGGCCATTTTCTTCCATTCCCATGGGGTTGTGCATCATGAGTACGCACCACAAGGCCAAACCATCACAAAGGAATACTACCAGGAGGTCCTTTGTTGCCTTCGTGATGCTGTGCGGTGCAAATGACTGGATCTGTGGACAGCAAAAATTTGGCAGCTCCATCATGATAATGAATCCACCCATTCTGCGCATCTGATTCAGACTTTCGCCACCAAACACAACATCCCTGTGGTTCGTCAGGCTCCCTACTCCCCCAACATGGCTCCGTGTGACTTTTGGCTATTTCCCAAGCTGAAATTGCCGCTGAAAGGAACCCAATTTGAGTCAAGAGAAGACATTATGCGGAATGCGACGGCCCACCTGATCACCTTTCCAAAAGACGCACTCCAGAAGTGTTTCCAACAATGGTGGAAGCGCTGGGAGAAGTGTGTGCATTACCAAGGAGACTACTTTGAAGGGGATTAGGGTTTTGTACCTCCAAATCAATAAACGTATTTCTGCTGACCAAAGGTTCGATACATTTTGAACACACCATGTATGTAACAGGTCTTGCGAAGTGTCTCATAATCGCTGGCTTCCCACCACGGCGGCCCAGGTTCAATCCCGGGTCTGGTCAAGTGGGATTTGTGGTGGACAAAGTGTCACTGGGGCAGGTTTTCTCAAAGTACTTTGGTTCCCCTGCCAATCTTCATTCCACCAATTGCTCCACAATCACCCTCACCTATCATCTGGGGCTGGTACAGTAGACCAGAAGTGGCCGCAGTACAAGGGACTTAGTCCCACCCCACTAGGAGTAAAAAAAAGTGTCTCATAATGTATAATGATTTGAAGTTGGAAAAAACACTGACTTACACTGTATTCAGGCAATACATTTTTACTGCTTTAGAATTCTATAAGAATCAAAATTCTTCTGATTTTGTTTATTTAACTCAACATTTAATTTGGAGAGAGAAGGATATTGATGGGGAAGTGATATTGAAATAGAGCTCAAGAGTTTTTTAGGATTTCAAGTGGGTCACAACTGTCTGTAGTAGGAATGGTGATGAATTATCAGGTTCCATAACAAGAGTGAATTTCTTGAATAGCTGAAGTAATTTTCAACTGTTCATGGAGGTCCTTGCAGTTTATGTCATAAGAAATAAACTGAAATTTTTGGTGAAAATACAAGTTGCTGTGACATGCATGGCTTTTTATATCTGATTTTTACTCTGTTCCAAGTTTCATTTAAAGAAAACATGTTTACTGGAAATAATGTCCATTAATAAATATGTTCACAGACAAGGAGCCACCATTTAATACTTGTCTACAATAAAACCCAGAGCATTACAATCCTTTCACATACAACACCCTGCTTTCTCGTGTCAGTTTCTCTCATTTTAATATAGATGTCTTTGGTTAATTTCAGTACCCAAATTGGATGGCTTAAAATTGTCTCCTAACAGTGAAATGCCATGTAGTAAAATATTTCCGAAGACAAATGAGGTGGATGGCAGACAGAATGCTTCAGTCACCAGTGGAAAACTGTGGTGAGATATTTATAAATTTGGTTAATTGTTGTATTGGTATAAAAGTTGTACTTCTGTGTCTGTATTTATGTTTACGCAGAATGTAAACTTTCTTAAGACTGTATTCATGTCTTCATTCCTCTAGTGAAATTCTGACATATCTTGACGAAGTGGAACATTATTGTGATGCAACGTTAGTATCTTCAAAGAATCAACTCCAAGCTGTAAAAGATTCTACACGAAATAATGAGCTTAAGCTGACAACAGTGCCAAGGTTGGTGAATTATGTTTCTGGGTAATTAGTCTTGGAAGCTACATTTGTTGTTATGTAGCTATCCATGCATAAGGCAGAAAATAAAAATAATTGACCCTAATATGTGTTGTTGTTTGTTCATTTGTTTTTTGTTGTTGTGCAACTTTCTAGCCTTGCTTAAGGAAAATGTAGTCCTGAAAATTACCATATTATCTGGGTGTGGTTGTGACCCATGCCTGTCAACTTTTAACTGTTGAACCAGTTGATCAGTTTCCATGAAGTCCAGTATGTGATTGAAGGCCATTGCCTCATATATTATAATTTCATAAATCGGTGATAAGTACACAGAAAATGGACGAACTTGTGAAGCTGTAATGACAGTAATGTAGGGTTCTGAAATGATACATGATAATGGAGCTTAAAAAATATGCAGCTTTTGTAATTTCATTGTGAAATATAAAGCAAAATCAGGACTGCACAAAATCCATGTCTAACTTTTCATTGGAAAATGATTACTGGTGAATGAAGAATATTATATTTCAGCATCCTGTTACACTCACACAATATATATGGACAAATACCGTCTTAAGTGCAACAATTTTATTGTAGTTTTTACTTCTTTTTCCTCCTACTACAATAAAATTGTTGCACTTAAGACGGTATTTGTCCATATAGAATGAAGAATGTTTGAAATATCAGTCAACAATAACAAACATGGCGATTGCGTGAAACATAAAGTTATATCCGACAAATTTAACATAGATAAAACCTGTATTTAAATAATAAGTTCTGTCAAACAACAAACAGCAACATACTTGCAATTGCAAGCAATATAAAATTACATTTAATTAGGATTCAGTCTTATGAACATCTGTGCGTGAGTCCAGCATATTAGCGCATGAGCCAGAATCCAGTCTGTTGGATTATATACTTACATTACCTAACCATGATATACATTATGCACAAGATTTGTAGGACAATAGTTCTGCTCTACCTGGCATTCCTTGTATCATTTTCACATTCCAATGTCAGGTGTTAAATTTAATGTGTAGGCATGAGCCACAATGTTTATATTCATAAAAGGCTGGAGTTGAACTGTGGATCATAGTTAATAATGAATGTGTTAAAAATGTGGTCATACATAAGCGATGTGACTTCCAATAATACTATTTTCACTGATTAAATCTTCTAAGATGCACAAATTATTTTTTATTTTCACCATTTTTAAAAATCTTCCCTTTTTCCCTGTCAGGTGGATTATATGCATTTGGTTGCATGTTTAACTTTTGAGTTTTTTAAATGTTATTTTAGACTTAGGAGTGAGTGCCTGTGTAGGTGTTTGAAACTTGCACCTTACATCTTGGCTGTATGTGTTGTCTGTAGAATGGAGGAACTACTAAACTTAAGCACAGTAGACTTGTCTCATCAAGTCCTTACACTTCAACTCCAGCTTGAGGAGAAAAGTAACAGTATTAACTTATTGCAAGAGACACTGAATCAACAGCGAGAGCTCACAGTCCGCAACACAAGGAATGCTGACCGTGACATGAAGACAAGACTGCGTGGGCAGAAGGAAGAATATGAAGCCACTATTGCCCGTCACCAAAAGTTCATTGATCAGGTGAATAATATGCATGAAAGTTTACTGCCACATTTGGATCTATTAAAGACAGTGCTGCATCACTGTAAGTCAAGTTCATAGGAAGGTTTCATGTTACGGTGTTCTCTTTGTATAAGAAGTGTGTTATCAGCTATGGTATATGATGGGATTTATTTTATGTTTTGAGGACTGCTGGGTTCCATGAAGTGGGGAATTTCTGAAGCATCTATCAGCTCTTCAAAGAAGACATTTCCCTCTGTCTCTTGTTATTTTGTGACTTTGCAAATCTCATATTTGAATTCTTAATTTAATCCAGTTGATAGCTGATAAAAAGAATTTGAGTGAAAAATATGAAAGTCTGGTCTTGGAATTGAAGAAGTCTGAAGAATATCATACAAACACTTTGAAAGCAGTGGATGAGCGCCATTCTGTAGAGTTACAGAGAGCACGAGAAATGCATGCAGCTGCTGAGAAGCTCAACAGAAAAAGATGGATTGATAACAAGACACAGAGGATTAAGGTAACATTGACTATATTTGCATTCAGCATGATTAAAAGTCTGCATATATACAAGCATAAACTTTTTTATAGAAGCAATATACGGAAGTTAAAAAAGTTAAAATTTATTTCTCACACCAGATGCAAATCTACATTCTCTCTTCAAATTTCATATACAGGAAAATACCTTCTAGATGGCAGCTCCTAACTTGTTTGTTTGTTACACTGAAATATAGCATATTAGTCTGCTTGCATATATACTTGCACAGCCAGAAAGTTATCTGTTATGAATCCTTAACTCCTACTTATGGAGATCCTTTAGTAGTGGATCTGTATGTTATAATGTAAAGGTAAAGGTAAAGTTATCCCTGTGCTTAATTAAGCACCGCATCAGGAAGACATGTGGAGGAGCTGAGTTATAGCTCCATGCATTCTTAACCTTGAGCTAGTCCCTACAGAGATAGGGACAAGCTTTCTCAATCGGCCTTAACTGAGTAGGCTTTGTACCTGATGATGAAGGTGGAGTCCAGTTTCCGCAACTTGGTTTTAAATAAAAAGCAGGGCAATGGATAATCTCCAAGAAATCAGTAATTATATAAATGTAATATTGGTTTATGTGAATTATCTATAAAATGTGGGAGCTTCCACGTCCCACAACTCCATAGGCCTCCATGGCCTGTTACAGGGATAGCTTTATCTTCATTGGTTTGTATGAATCCAACAGAAGTCTCACTTTATAGAAGATGAAACTGAACAGCAGTTTTTTAAAAATTCTGGTATGATATGACATGAAGTATAAATCTCATTAGATCTACATGATATTTTTTGGCTATTCTGAATATTTAATAAAAGACAAGAAAACTTATGTTCTTTTAAATGTGTTCTGTAGGAGATGACAGTGAAAAGTCTAGAGCCAGAACTTCAGAGGATGAATATAAGGCATCAGCAAGAGCTATCAGACTTAAGATTGTTACATAAGCAGGAATTGGATGAACTTGAATTGCGGGCCACTCGGAAGACAGCTCAACAGATGGAACAGCTCAGAGACAAACTCACTGCAGAAAAGGAAGAAGCACTAGCTAAAGAGAAGGAATTTCTTAGGCAGAGGTAATGGGGATAGTTTGTCAGGTCACACTATGAGTCTGTCTAAATCACAAATCTTCATTCCCCTTGACCCACAGTAATATAATCCTCCCTTCTCCATTTGTATCTTTCATTTGCCTTCAGTCTGCAAGGTTTCAACATCCACCCTTAGTATATATTTTTGGTTTCCTCCACTGCATGCCCAACCTATTACAACCTAATCCGGCTAGCATCAAACCACTAGAAGAAGTTTCTATGTTGCTTTTTATACATTATATTTACTTATTTCATCTCTCTCAGTTAAAAATATTCTTATTAGGACTATTTTCAAACACTTACTTACTTACTTACTTACTTACTTACTTACTTACTTACTCATGGAGCTGAGCCCTTCTGGAGGAGCCGCCAATTCTGCAGCTGCTCAAGAATTTCCCAGCATTTTATGGAACCCGAAGGTTCATCACCGTGTTCACAAGAGCCCTGCACTGGTCCCTGTCCTGAGTCAGATCTATCCAATCCATACCATCCCATCCTCTCTCTCTAAGATCCATTCTAATATTGTCCACCCACCTACGCCTTGGTCTTCCCTGTGGTCTCTTTCCTTCTGGCTTTCCCACCAATATCCTATATGCATTCCTCGTCTCCCCCATTCGTGCTACATGACCTGCCCACCTCATCCTCCTTGACTTGATAATTCTAATTATACTTGGAGAAGAGTACAAGTTATGAAGCTCCTCATTATGCAATTTTCTCCAACTTCCTATGACTTCATCTCTCTTCAGTCCAAATATTCTCCTCAATGACCTGTTCTCAAACACCCTCAGTCTATGTTCCTCCCTTAATGTCAGAGACCAAGTTTCACACCCATACAGAACCACAGGCAAAATTATAGTTTTGTATATTCTAATTTTTATGTGTTTGGACAACAGACGAGAAGACAAAAGGTTCTGGACTGAATGGTAGCAAGCTTTACCAGAGTTCAATCACCTCTTAATTTCCTCCTGAATCAGGTTTTGATGTGTTATCGTTCCCAAGTATCTGAACTGTGCCACATTTTCAAAACATCTGTTTCCTCTCTTTATGTCATGATTTTGTCCTGCATTTTGGTGATGAGACTTCAACATATACTTAGTTTTCTCTGTGTTTACTTCTAGACGAACCTCTTTACTTGCGTCAATTAAAGTTTCTAGTTTCAAACACTGAAAGAAAAACAGTAGAATATGTATTCAGGTTTGTTTTTCTTGTTATGGTCATTTCCAGTTCCAGAACAGTTTCAAAGCAATGACAAATTCTTTAATTCTTGTAAAATTCAGTGCCATTTTTTATTTTTATAATTATAAGGTTCACTGAAATGATTCATTATGGCACTGAGAAAATGCAATATTTATGGTGACCAAAGTGCTGTGTCAGAATAAAAGAATAGAACAATTTCTAGTGCAAGTTTTCTCAACATAAAAGCATTCATTGCATCTCACGCACACCACTATGATGAGTTAAGGAAAAGTTGCATTTATTTCCAACAACTGTACATTTGAGTTTAGAGTAATACAGTTATACAGAGAGTATTTTTTTTTAACTTGGTTGACCAATTCATGGCTTTGCGTTTCACGGTGACTGGTGTGCTGCTTGCTGCGAAGCGCATATGAATTTTGCCGAAGAATCACCATGCCTCATGGCCGGTAACATTTGAAATGATGGGAAATAATTAACTTATGGCCTGCTTGAAACCTTTTTTTTTCATGGCAAGCAGTGCGGATCACGCGTGGGTGTTTGTTTATGATTTGTCAGCAGTAGGAAGCAGTTGTCAACTCCGTTAGCCATTTGTTCTCAGTTATAGTTAGTGAGCAGTACAGTATGTTATGGTGTGGTATGCTTTAGAGCAATGTGTCTTTCTGTATGACACCTATGTGAAGTATGGATCTGCTGGAAAGTATCAGCAAAAATTCTGAAGTAATTTTGTGATGAAAGAGTACCCAGCAAGTAAATTCACAATTTGGTGTATAAACTTAGAAAACAGGACTGTTAGTAGACAAGAAGAAAACATAATTGCTGAGCGGTTGCTGAGAAGAAGTTAGATGACATATTGGCCAGACTTGAACATACCCCTACATCTAGCACAAGGGACTGGAGTGACAAAGTCTAGTGCAACAATGGCAACACAATTGCTGGAGCTAAGACCCTATAAAATAACAATAATCCATGCCCTGTAGCCACATGATCCAACTAACAGTGTCCATTTTTGTAGTTGGTTTCTACAATCTGTCATCGAAGGTGAAATTGATCTTCAATTGGCATTCTTCTCTGATGAAGCATGGTTTCACTTGCAGGGATACATAAGTACAAAAAATAATCACTACTAGAGTTCACAGAATCCACATATAACCCACAAAGTTCTGCTCCATCCAGTGAAAGTTGGCGCCTAGTGTGCTTTAAGTGCAAGAAGGATTGTTGGACCTGTGTTTTTTAAACAAAACAGTTAATTTTAAATATATGTACAGGTCATTCTTGGGTAATTCTTTCCATAGTTAACAGAAGAAGAAACCCTATGGCTGGGTTCAGCAAGACTCAGCTACTGCCCACACTGCACATATGTCTATGCAGGCTTTGTCCGATGTCTTTGGGGACAGAATTATCAGCAGTGATATTTGGCCAGTGCATTCACCTGATGTTAATCCTAGTGATTCTTTCTTCTGGAGTTGTTTCAAGGACAAAGTTTGCAACAGTAACAGCTAAAGCTGAAAGATCTAAAAGAAAATATTCATGGGGAAATTGCAAATATTCCTGCAGAACAGCATCAGAGTGTAAATCAAAACCTCTTCCGCTGGTGCAAGGAATGTCTACATGTGGAGGGACATCATTTTCAACACCTCCTGTGACCTGTGTACAAAGGTAAGAGCTTACCTTCATTCTGAACTTTATCAGCTGTCAGGCATGCTGAATCATCAACAAAATTCATATGCGCTTCGCAGCGAGCGGTGCATCATCTGCCATGAAACACAGAACCATGGAACTGGTCAATAAAGTAAAAATCCTCCATATATTTCCTTAAAATATTCCACAGTAAATGGGGTTCCCTTATGTCTGAAGTATTGTAGTCAGGTAAATGCAGTTATGATATATGTTTTATGTCAAACCTGTGGCACTTGATGTTATCCAATAGACCTTTAAACATGCTCTGCATTTACATATTTAATATCATTTTTATGAATTTAATTTCAATGGATTTGTCATTCACTCATGCTGCTTGAATTGTAATTTATTAGCTTTAGATATTATTCATGCAAAGTTTATCTTTCTATATAGAATTGAGAAACAAGCAGAGCAAGAGGAATTAGAGTACCAAGCACGACGACGTAGGTTATTAGCAGAAATCCACAGAGAGAAAGAAAGACTTACAGAAGAAGAGAGAAGAATTAGTGAACAATTGGAGGAAACTAAACAGAATTTATCTAGAGAAAATGCTAAGGTTATAGAAAGGCTGAAACAAGAGTATCAGGAAACAGTGGAAGAATATACAAGGAGGCATCAGGTTGGTGAGACTTCTGTATATAAAGAAGGCTTGACGTTTGAGTCTAATACCGAAGGAGATGATTCTGTCTCCTCTGATATATTTGAAAAGGCTAAATTGGTATGAAACACAATTGACACTCTTTGGTTAATTATAAATTTAAAGTATCACCCTTTTGGCCATTGGTTTTTAAAAATAATGTAGTGTTGGAATGATGGTGATATAAGAGCTTATATAAATTAGAATGGTAATTGTTACACACTGTATTAAATATTAACTTATAATTTGCTATAAGAAACTAAGAAAGGCTAAAAATAACTCTGTTCAGAATACTGAATCCCTGACACCAGACTTAAAAATTCACAGCAGTAGTATTCCACCACAGCAAAACAACTGGGAATCCTTCAATAATGTTCTACTTGTAAAATCTACGAGCAGTCTTGATGATTACTTTTATGTAATTTCAAACACATTGTGAGCCTTATTGACTAGTAACAATCTTAAAAATGTAAATTTCTTTTCTGTTATCTATAGAATGAAATTAAATCTCTTAAAGAGGCATTAGAAATTGAGAAAGAAGCTTGGATAAACAGCTATAAGAAAGACCAAGCAACATATATTTCTCGGCTAGAATCAGAGATAAGGAACCAATGTAAAAGAGAGCGTGATAAAGATATTGAACTTGTAATAGAGAGGCTGGAAGCTGAAGCAACACAAAGTAAGACTGAATTGGAACAAGCCACGGACAACAGGCTGAGGTAAGAAAATGAAATGTGAAAGGAAAGGATGACTGGATCTTCTTACTACCTGCATTTAGTAGCTGAGGCAAAACACTTGCATCTTATGTGTTTTCAGACGATTAAAAGAGAAATTTGATGCTGAAATCAAGGACTTGGAATTGTCAGAGAAAGCAATTAAAACCAAGTATAATGAGGCAAAGGGTAAATTAGTTGAGAAAGAAGATGAGGTAATTAATTTAAAAGCCAATGCCAGGCAGTTACAAAAGGAACTGGAAGAAGCAAGGAAGGTATGTATGTAATGAGCTTATAGTCAAGATACACTAAAATTATTAGGAAACTTATGTATTACAATAACAGGAACAGTTTTAAAAAGATTATATTGATTGCAATTATTGGATTGACAGGTTTGAAAGCAAACATAATATGTAACAAAGTCATCTTGGGTAATTAGCTATGTTAGTGTGGAGTTGTTGCCTGATGTTTCAAACATATCATCAGGGGATGATGTGATGAGTGTTTGTTTGCATGCTATGTTGATATACCATTGGGAATCAACAAGTGATGAGAGTGGACACTATAGCATAGACATGAATAATAGACACGTATCCATCAACACAATTAGAATCAGATTGTGGAAAAACGTAGATTAAGAACACAATGAATTGAGCTGGCTAAAATCAGGATACATCACACATTTTTTCATTTTATTTTGTAACGCACTGAGGTAAGGGTAATATTTTTTTTTCCTTGGCACTACAGCCCCAGTGGCCCTAGGCCTACCTCCATGAACTTCCGTTCACTTCGGTTTTTCTAGATCTTACGTAGACGGTAGGACTCCTTGGGTGAGTGATCAGCTAGTCTCAAGGCCTCTACCTGTAGACAAACACAGAAAAACGCACCCAAACATCCATGCCCTGAGTGGGATTCGAACCCACGATCCCGGCTTCCGAGCGAGCGAAGACAGTGCATGCCTTAGACCGCTTGGCTACCGTGACCGGCCAAGGGTAATATGTGGATCCATATATAGTAGTCGCAATATATATACAACATATATACACCACTGAACTACAGTACTAGTAAAATTGAATACAATAATATTAATTATATTAAAATACTTGGCATAAAAGTACAATAAATTAGACTATATAAAACGAAAGTTATGGTATAAAACAAGATTAACCCGTTGCCGTGGTTCGTCGTGTATGTTTCGTCAGGGATTTAAATCGTCTGGGGGGGTTCGGCCTGTATGTTTCGTCCAGCTGCACACCTATGTTATAACGCCCATAATAATTGATGGTTTTGCTGTAGATTGTTGGATTTTTCGCTGGCCTGTTGTCACAAGAACAGAGTATACTAAGCCAACGAGTTTAGCTGAGATAAGTCATCGTTACATATGCCTGTCTTGCAGCAAATTCGTGTTGCTTCTTGTAGCGGTTTCGTCACTCAATGGCGTATTTGCTTTGCTTGTGAAGTAATAAACACCAGAGAGGTGATGTGTGCTGTTGTATATAATATCATATTGCCCTGAGCTGGCCACACAAACACATTCCATTGGAATTCTTAGAAGAGGGTTGTCCAAAATGTTATTCTCGTAAAATCGATTGCTTTCGCACAGTACATAGCACCCATTTCTTAGAAATACGCCACAATTTAAGGCAGAACACTGTGGTCACCCCCTGAGACGATACGGATGTGTGTGGGGGAGGGAAAAGTACTCATTATCGCTCCAGTTGACGCCATTTTATCGTACTGACCTTGGTGGTCGTTTCGAGAGCCAGCTCTGTGTTTAGACTAATGCTTCAAGGCGTCACCTGCTTACATAGCCGAGATACCGGGTGCTCATATTATAAGGCAAGGTTATAAAACCAACTTTTAAGATCATTTTAGTGAAAGTTTCATCCTTCAAGGCGTACCATTCTCTGCTCAAATACTAAATAACCTGCTTCCATTGAAGATATAAAGGGGGTTCATATTATAAGGTAAGGTTATAAAACCACCTTTTAAGATCATTTTAGTGAAAGTTTCATGTTCCTATCTCATAGAATTTAAGAACAATGATGAATAAATAATTTTCGAGCAAAATTTAAATGGCTGGCTGAATATATTACCGCAGGAGCCGCGGCCGCGGAATTTAAATGACCACGTCAAAAGGTTAAAATTCTTCAAGTGATGCTTTACATCAGGCATGTCCAACGCATCGATTGCAATCAAACGATCGATCAAGGGACGATTTTTGGTCTATCTCATAGGCCTATAATGAAATTATACGTGAAAAGTGTGTAAAGTCACTTATAATATAATATGATTATATTCAGATCTTTAAGGGAAAATACGTATTATTCATTCCTATTTTTCTGTTCTTATGTAGCTTACGTGAAAGCTTTACACTTGTGTTAGGTGAACTGTGGGGAAGTCCGTACTTTATCCTTATCACATGAACTCTTATTTCATCACTCATTATCAGCCACATGTGTTCTGATGCAAGAGTGATCGACAGAACATGTGATTCACTTCGTTCCCTCCCTCCAGTCAACTGTGAATCCCTGTATGTTGAACTAACAAGTGAGACTTATTATTATATTAGCTGTTAGTGGAGATTTGTCGCTTTGCTGTGCAATAAACAAATATAGAGTTTGGAGATGAGCTCAGTGTAATCAAAGGGACAGTAAGTGCTCTGCCCACATTATTTTATTAATTTTGAAAGCGTCTGTGTGCGTGTGTCAGATAAAACAGTTACCTCAATATAGTGGAAAATGCAACGCCTCAGTACTCTTGCCAAAGAAGGGTAATCGGGAACGTCATTATAATGTTCTCCATAGCAATAAGTATGATGCTGATTTTCCACCCAAAAGTGAAATTCATAAACTTAAGCTCAAAGAACTTAAATCGAAATTAGCTGCTCAACAACAGTTGATGGCAAAACCAAGGTGACTTTCTAACAATGCAACCAAATCATCCTTCAAGGTCAGCAATCTGATCGATAAAGAATGCAATCCTTTCACTGAAAGGAATTTGTAAAAGAGTGTTTTCTTGAAATAGCTTATAATCTTTTTGAAGGATTTAAAAATAAGAAAGAGATCATAGCTACTATTCAGGATATTCAGTTATCAAGAAACACCATTGTGCGGCAAATAGAAATGATGTGTGGAAACATAACTGAACAGTTGTTGAAAGATGTTTCCAATTGTGTTGCTTTCTCCCTCCGACTGGATGAATCTACAGACATCAGACACACAGCCCAGTTACTAGTTGCTTTTACAACAAACATCATGTGTTGTTTTATTTTTACCAATATTTTTGCTTAAAGCGAGGTACGACAATAGGAGGGGGTGGTAGATCACTGGCAGTTTTGACAGTATAAAGTCTGTCACAACCTGTTTGAAGTTGGACATGCCTGCTTTACATCATCAAGTCAGTTGTTGGTTTTTGTGGTTTTATTGTGTTCCCATGAACAAATTGGAGTATTCTATATTTTTTGTGTATATATAATAAACTGTTTTGGAGGTTCGTGATGTAGATGTAGCAATATCAATGTTAATTATGTACATCACGAGCCTCCAAAACAGTTTATTATATATACACAAAAAATATAGAATACTCCAATTTGTCTGTGGGAACACAACAAAATCGCAAAAACCAACAACTGACAATGATGTAAAGCATTACGTAAAGAATTTTAATCTTGCTTTATACCATAACTTTCGTTTTATATAGTCTGCTTTATTGTACTTTTAAACCAAGTATTTTAATATAATTAACATTATTGTATCCAATTTTACTAGTACTACAGTTCAGTGGTGTATATATGTTGGCCATGTATTTGCCTGATGATGACTTTTGGTACCTGAAACATGCAGCAGAGCCAAACTTGGCACTGACCATAATATAGTTGTGTTGTGATGGTTTTAATAAATAAATTGTATAGTCACAATTCAGTTGTAAAAGATTTGTTAATTGTGTCCCATGAGAATGGGGCTATGAGCCGAAACATATAGCAACGCCATATTATAGACCAGTAAAACTCAGTTGTACACAATGAAGTGTGAGTAAGTTATTTGGTGAATTGTAGTGTTTGATATGAATTATTATGGAAATTTAAATATAGTATAAACACACAACATGATGCATTCCTTAAAGACTTGCATACGAATTAATCTGTCCCAGCCCAGACTGCTTGGGGAATGGTGGGTAGAGTCAAATGATTGGTGATGTCCAGCCCTTCATTCTTGGCAGTACCAGACCACTTATTTATAACCACTGAGGCCCTGCTGCACCCTGCTAACTTTAACCTTTTAAAGCCTAAAGGCGACATATGGAGTCACAAAAATAAAGTCAAGGGGACGAATGACTCCATATGTCGTCGCGCAGTCCACGCGTGTGGCCAGCTTTATAAAATCTAATTTTAAGTTATAAATTCTTTTTCTACTTACATGATTTTTGGACACCAGCTTTATAAGTTGTCTCTCTTCCCACCTGCATCATCTAACGGAATGTTGGCTTCGTGTGGAAATCTTGGAAACATCCGGAAATGCAGAGTCCGAAGTCACACTTCACGCACTTTATCCGGATGGTTCTTCGTTTCCCACGCGAAGACCACATTCGACACCTCAATTTCGAAGTAGAGGAAGTCGGCCAGTGCTGTTGTTTGGCCTCCTCTATTTGAAATGACTCCGATGAAACGGCAGGGGGTCGACCCCTGGGCCGCTGAGGGCGAGGGGGGCCCTTTCCAGCATGCTCCAGCATGTTGTGCACAAGGGTGAGACGAAATTCTCTGTGTGACAATTTCACACCACAGGATGACAACAGGATGTAACTGTTCAGAATCGTCAAATCCAGGAGATTGAAAATAGTTTATTTGTCCATTTCCAGGTTCGATGACAGATGCTATAACTGTTTGCCATTCTGTCCACTTTGTTGACATAACCCATGTGCTTGTTGTAGTTAGCAACAATTGCTGGCTTCATGGCATTTCCGTGCTCATCACAGAAACTGCCTTCTGCTGGAGGAGAGTGCATATTTGTCAGCATGTAAACATCACGTTTGTCCTTCCAAACTAGTGCTGTCAAGTTTTGTCTCACCCTAACACGAATGTTCCCTTTCTTCAGTCGAAATTGTCTTCGTCGAAAATCGTCAGGCAAGCCCTTCCGATTAGGTCTGACTGCCCCACAGCACATTATGTTCTTTGTCATCAGTTCGTCAAACAAGTCGGGTGAAGAAAAGAAATTGTCCATGTACAGTTTGTGACCTACGCCCTCAATACGTCTGCGTAGGTCCCTAACTGTAGCATGTGTCGCTGTCACGTCTTGGCTGGCATGTGTCCTGTCTTTTCCTAGGTAAACTTTCATGTCATAAGTATACCCAGCGGCGTCACAAATTTTGAAGATTTTGATTCCGAAACGTTTGTGTTTCTTGGGAATGTACTGCCTAAAAACCCCCCCCCCCCCTTTGTATTTTACAATTATTTACTCAATGGCCAAATGTTCGGAAGGGTTATAATATTTTTCAAATGCGTCATTGAGAGTGTCGAAGATGGTCCGAATTTTCCATAGTCGGTCATAACTGTTGGCATTCCTGTCAATTTCTGTACTGTTGTCTGCAAAATGAAGAAAACGAAGAATGTGTAGAAAACGGTCGCGTTTCATTGTCTTAGAGTAGAAAGGCGTGGCAAATTGTTCTAGAGTCGACCAGTAGTCCTTTAGTCTGCCTCTATTGTCATGTCCCATTTGAATGATTATTCCTAGAAACAGAAACATCTCTGATTCAGTCTCGTCAGGCCGCGGGGAAGGTCCATCTTGACGTCTGTCTATGTGCTGATGGTAGTACCTGTTCGTCTCTTCCACCAGCAGACGGATAATCCCTGCGAAATACAGCATGAAAACGCAGAAAGGGGTGGAATCCTTATTCACGTGTGGAGCTTCATTGGTATTTAACCCCACAGCTCCACCTGAATAATTATTCACACTCCTCTTGCCACGCTGGTGTGGTGGTCCCCAGGTTGCCGATGAAGATGATGGTTCTTCGTCGAAATCAATTTCTGATTCACTTTCCTCAATGCCACTCTCAGAATTGTCAGTACAACCATCTGATTCGGAGTCATTTATGAGTTGAAATATGTCAGCGTCTTCCAAACGAGACGTCGCCATGATGTGGGCTGACAACTTCACTGAATGCTAGCTTTGAAAGTTATGACACTGTTTGGCTGTGGCATAAAGACGTTAGCCTTGAAAGTTCCTATAAAAACTAACTCAGCACTGTTAGAACAGAGAACCTGTTGTGTAGCTATAAGCGATAAAAAACAATCAGGGTTCTTATGAACGAATAGATACGTGCCGACATCTCTGCATACCGAAAGAACGTACGTGAAAATATACACTGACACACGCAGGCCTGCTGCACATCTGCACGCACATCTGCTGTGTTGCCACTTCAGCAGCATTCATACTTGCAAGAACTGTATGAATTCTTGTAGAGATACGACAAATTGGGGAATATTTTAGTTGGAATCAGTATAAAAATTTTTACACATTTTATGAAGTCTGTAAATTACAATATCTGATTCTATATTCTTTCTAGAAAAAAGCAGCATTTATTTGGTTCGTTTATCACAAAAATTGTAGAAATCACAGCAATTTTAGTAAATGATTACAGTTTTTATTGCTTTATAATTGCGGGTATTTAAATTAAATCCGTCCCGCAGCCATTACCAGAATTTAAAGGGCCGTCTCTTAAAGGTTAATAGAGATACATCGACTCCCTCTAGGCTGTTCATGGTGCCTGGCTACAGAACATAATAAAACAAATGAGAGCATTAAAAACAATGTAAGAAGGGACTAATAAAAATACACATGAATTCTGATAACTGACTGATTGTTCCTCATATGGTCTGCACTGGAACAGAATATCATTCTGCCCACCATCCAAACCCTCACCTGAGAAGACTTCCTTGTATACTGTCACCATGGAAGCTTCAAATCATATATAAACATTGTGTTTATTTTCTTATGTCTCAGTTTTGCTGTTTCCTGCCTTCAGCAAGAAAATAAATGATTTTACATCCACTTTTTCTCATACTTTAACATAGAACAGCTTGTTTTGGATCAGATGCTCTGATGGTTGTGGTAATTATGAATATAGTACTCTCTACAATGTAGTGGCCTTGCAATGGCCTGATCACTCTTCCAAAGAGCCCTACCATCTGTAACTGAAGAAGAGGCCAGGGCACAACAGAGGGGTGCAACAGCCATTGATGAATGAATGAATGAATGATTGAATGAATGAATGAACTCTGTACAGTACATTTAATTTATTCTTATATCATGATTAAATTATTTCCCACAGTTTATTACTTTTGTAGGAAATCTCTTGGAAAGTGAAAGTAACAAATTTCACTCAATGTGGTTAGATAGGGTAATGTTTTCTATTTTACATGTTATTATCAAGTGGCAAGTTTCTACAGAAGATATGTTAATAATATAAGACCCCAGAAGTAATGTTTTTGTACATCAAAACAAAATCAAAATTAATATTAGGACTTTGGAGTAAAGGAAACATACAATACATGCTGTGATGTTATTATGCTCCTAAAAGCTGCAACATCTGTTGTTATTTCGCAAGCATAAAGTCAGTGGAAACAGAAATTGTAGATTTTCCCATAATTCCTAAAAAAGGCTAACTGGAGAACCTAACAACAATATTGTTTCAATGTGTATAAATAATTCAATATTATTCATATTATTTTCTGTCTTGGGTATAGCTGTTTTGATTAGGTCACATATCATAAATACATGTATATTTATTTATCTTATAAATTATTCATGTAGTTTGTTCACAAATTTCATATATATTCCATTCACTAAAAATTGGGTCTCAGTTTTTTTACCTACTAAAAGCCACAGTAGGAATCCTGCTCCTGTTTTTAAGGTAGAACTATAGCCATGAAGTACATACAGATTGCCAAAGAATGAAGGTCCAAAAAAATGCCAAATGCCTGCTTCTAATGCCTAATATGTATAAAAATGTATACTTTGGTTGTCAGACTTCCAGTATACAGGATCATTTTGTTTTTATGGTAACCAGGTAATCTCTATTGGTAACACATATTTATAACTTTTTGACATCACCACCAGCTGCAACGTGTAGGATTGCTTGAGTACCCTCTGACAGGTTAAATAACTACTTCTGTTTGAATATCTTAAATCTGTAAGTGAAGCCTGCAACAGAAGTTTCGTGTACTAGAAATGTTCACATGATTACAGATCATTGACAAATTGTCTGCAGAACGTGCAGAACTCAAGGAAATCGTTCGTAAAGAGGTTATGAATCAGGTGACTGCTGCAGAGCAGGAGAATATCAGACTGAGAGAAGAAATGGCAGAACTGAGAATGAGACACAAGCTGGAACTTTCTGGCAAAGACGATGAGGTAGCAAGAAGAATGGCAGATAAAGAAAGGCAGCTGCAGCAAGTCTATAGCAGGTATGGTGCACTTTGCAAACTTAAGAACAATTGTGGTTAGGTTAATTGATTCCACATTAAGACCACTTAAGGTGAAATAGAGGTAGTCAAAATGGCCTGCTGTAATGAGATTTGTAATGTAATTAGTTTATGATCTAATTAGATATATAATGTAATTATAGGCAGAGTATTGTCGCGTATCGGGCGTATATCGCGACAAATAAATTCTCGATGTATTCGATGTAGCGACTTTTATTTCACATTCGCTCCTACAATCACCCAAATTACAGATTTACGATTACTGCTATCTGCAGTATCACAATTAGTACACTCCAAATGCCACAATACAACTGACTGGCTGACTTTACGTCTTGACTCGGCGACTGTTACTTTATAACTCGCTGGTAGCCACATTAGAACTGACTGGTACCAGCTGTGCAGCTTACTTATATAGCCGCAGGATTGCCTGTTACGTTCCACGTCACAGTAGGAAGCAGTTCCGCGTCACCGCGTGATGTCACCGCGTGATGTCACCGCGGAGGGGAGTGGCGGGGCGGGCCTCGCTACCGTGCGGAGGAGGGGGAGGGGAGCGCCGACTCACCCGCCGCATCACTGCTGGTGGGGGG